TTTAAATTTCAATTAGATTTGAACTTTTTGTTTCACCGACATATTTCCTGTCTTTCTTATTAAAATAGTTACGTTGGCATCAAATAACTATATTTTTTTCAAACAATTCCAGTATCTTACTATTCATACCAGTACACTACGGAATTGACCATTTAACTTCAAAAGGGGGGGGGGGGGGGGGGGGGGGGGGGGTTATGTTTTTTTTTACAAAAAAAAAAATATTCTGATCCCCAATTTTATGAGAAAAAATATAGTGTGGTCAAGCAGATGACAAAATAATGTTCTGATTCCTGATTTTCCGAAATCAGTATATTATAGTGCTAATTTCGAAAAAAATATTTGGTGATAGCGTTGAAAAAGTAAATAATTTTCTTACTCAGAAAAAAACCATACCCCCTTTTGAAGCCAAATGGGTCGGTCCGTAAATGTATTTTTTCAATATATGGACATGAATAGTATTCTGGACAATGCTGAAAGTAAAAAAATGCTGGGTACCGACGTTTATATTTCAATATAAGGGTCATTTTCAAAAAATGTCGAATTTTCAGTACACCCATGCTAATTTTTTTATTTCTAATGGAAATTTCACTTGTAATTGTTTAAATGAAAGCTTGTAGGAATTATGATTCAGAACATTAATAATAAACACGATTTACATCTATTTTCATAAGATTAAAATGTATTTAAGTCCGATTTTTGGGTAATTTGTGTGCGTACAGTTTCAGAAAAACACATTTCAAATGATTTTTTTTCCGATTTTCTGATCGCCTTGATATCTGCAAAAGGAATTTTTTACGAACGTTAATAATTACTCTAACGAAAAATCGTAGCTTCTTTATCATTAAATGTAACATGTTATCTACAAACTTAATTCAATCCGCGTACATGAAGTTCATGTCCATCCTGTTACCGCTACTTAAATCAGCCGTTAAATTATTCTCCCTATGAATATTGAATTAGTCAGTGTTGATTTCAAAAGTGCAAAGTAACCTTTACATTTAACACAGCACGTTTCTTGAACGACAGTGTAGAGAAGAGAAATTTCAAGACATTTAGTGAAAAAAAATAGAGGGTACTTTTTTCATGTCTATGCTGTTACCAACAATTTTGATTAATTACACCAAAAGTATACTTGTAAAAAGTGCAATAACGTGTTGGAAACCAAATTCACAACAGAAAAACATTATCACCTCACCAAAGGGAGTAGTTATTTCACAACAGCATTCGAAAATGAAGAAATTTGTCTATCCTGTTATGTCTATCCTGTTACTATGGTTGCTATGGTTACAGTAACAGGATAGACAATTGTAGACAGAAACGTCGTTAAAAAGTTTATCATAACATATAGTTGCAAACAGAATGAAATCTTTCGTTGTTTGAACTCATCTTAAGGTTATAACGTCTTAATCTTCCCAATTGAGCATTGCAGGTGCAATACTGATATCGGTAACAGGATAGACAAAAAGGTAACAGGATAGAACTTTATATAGTGATATATCATTAACGTACGTTCCTGTTACCAATGAAATAAAGACAAAAGTAAACCAACATGTGAGGGATTTACTTGATGTTGGGTTTATTTGAAAGAGAGAAAAAATGCCGAACAATATGAATTGCTATCTTAGACTTGCATTACTGGTGGTAATTTTTACAACCTTTGAAAACCAATTTTTAGAGGCATTTTTCAGTACAACCTGGAAAATTGGCAAATAATCTATTATTTCACAAAATGAATATATATAGAAGTTTATTCTCTTGAAAACCATCTAATTGGCTACGAAAAACAAGCTTAAAATTTTATCTTAACCTTTTCTTAATAACCCAAAATTTCTTTTGAAAATGGTAACAGGAGAGACAAAATATTGTACCACCTATCAAAAAATGTTTCAAGATATTCTTGTATGACATTATTAAGATTGCATCTTTTAATATGTTGTTCTATAAGTACTGTTTGTTTTGATTTGCTCATGTAGAGGGTTGTTTGAATAAGTAACTTTTAATAAATTTTTCAATTTCAAAATTCGACATTTTTTGAAAATGACCCATAAAAGACAGGAAATATATATAACAAAATCAAATCTAATCAAAAGATAAAATCCCTATCAACTCACCAATGCACGATTGATCCTATAAATAAAAAGTGTCCGTGTAATACATGTTCAAATAGGCAGCAAATCTTGAAGAAAATCTTTCAACTTATGTCACCAATTTTGGACGGTAAGCTGCGATTGGATCATATTGTGACACGTGTTTAATCCTGATCAATACTATTAGAGACCTACAAGCATGAACATTAAAAAAAAAAATATATGCCTATATATATCTAATAACAAGCCAAAATCTATTTTTTCATAACATTTCATTCACTAATGAAATAAGAAATTCGTTCTTTTTATACATTTATATTGTTATTGAAATCATATATATTGAATTCATATATTTGGAAGCAAACGGACGATTTTACGATTGTTATTATTTTTTTTAAGGGGGAATGGGGAATGGAATGGCACATCCTGCATTCTTTCAACGAAAAAGGATCAAGCCTGTTATTTTAAATGTTTAAACCCCCCCCTTTCCGTTTTTCCCCAAATAAAAATCAAATGTTAGCTTGCTTACCTCTTAAATCTTTTTCATACATTACTTACTTGCGAAGTTGCATTTTAAAAAGTCTAAAATGTGTACGACATTCATCTTTTACTTGATATGGTTCTTTTTTATAAAATTATTAGATTTTGAATTTCTTGAGAAAAAAAACTCTCGGCTGAATGAAAGTGAAAAAAAAAGTTTGTTTAAACTGTAACTTACATTAACTTGTATATGGTCATTTAAGTTTCTAATCTGTTTAATTTTGCTACCTCTTCTAAATGCAAAATGTACTACTTCTTTCTTGTAACGTCGTACAAGTCAGATACAAAACAAAGGTAACAAAAAACAGGCCGGAAACAAACTGCCGTATAGTTTTTCTGCACTTGTAGTCAGGTCAAGGTCCTCGGCTATCGCCTCGGACCTTCACCTGACTACTCGTGCAGAAAAACTATCCGGCAACGGTTGTTACCGGCCTGTTTCTTTGTTACCTTTGTATTGTATCTAATACTTACACGGACACTTTATAGAAGATACACGGACACTTTTTAGTTGTTACACGGACACTTTTTATGAATAGAATCACTCGTGCATGATCAGTGAGTTCATGGGCACTTTAAATTTCAATTAGATTTGAACTTTTTGTTTCACCGACATATTTCCTGTCTTTCTTATTAAAATATTTACGTTGGCATCAAATAACTATATTTTTTTCAAACAATTCCAGTATCTTACTATTCATATCAGTACACTACGGAATTGACCATTTAACTTCAAAAGGGGGGGGGGGGGGGGGGGGGGGGGGGGGGGGGGGGGGGGGGGTCATGTTTTTTTTTACAAAAAAAAAATATTCTGATCCCCAATTTTATGAGAAAAAATATAGTGTGGTCAAGCAGATGACAAAATAATGTTCTGATTCCTGATTTTCCGAAATCAGTATATTATAGTGCTAATTTCGAAAAAAATATTTGGTGATAGCGTTGAAAAAGTAAATAATTTTCTTACTCAGAAAAAAACCATACCCCCTTTTGAAGCCAAATGGGTCGGTCCGTAAATGTATTTTTTCAATATATGGACATGAATAGTATTCTGGACAATGCTGAAAGTAAAGAAATGCTGGTACCGACGTTTATATTTCAATATATAAAAGACAGGAAATATATATAACAAAATCAAATCTAATCAAAAGATAAAATCCCTATCAACTCACCAATGCACGATTGATCCTATAAATAAAAAGTGTCCGTGTAATACATGTTCAAATAGGCAGCAAATCTTGATGAAAATCTTTCAACTTATGTCACCAATTTTGGACGGTAAGCTGCGATTGGATCATATTGTGACACGTGTTTAATCCTGATCAATACTATTAGAGACCTACAAGCATGAACATTAAAAAAAAAAAAAAATATATGCCTATATATATCTAATAACAAGCCAAAATCTATTTTTTCATAACATTTCATTCACTAATGAAATAAGAAATTCGTTCTTTTTATACATTTATATTGTTATTGAAATCATATATATTGAATTCATATATTTGGAAGCAAACGGACGATTTTACGATTGTTATTATTTTTTTTAAGGGGGAATGGGGAATGGAATGGCACATCCTGCATTTTTTCAACGAAAAAGGATCAAGCCTGTTATTTTAAATGTTTAAACCCCCCCTTTCCGTTTTTCCCCAAATAAAAATCAAATGTTAGCTTGCTTACCTCTTAAATCTTTTTCATACATTACTTACTTGCGAAGTTGCATTTTAAAAAGTCTAAAATGTGTACGACATTCATCTTTTACTTGATATGGTTCTTTTTATAAAATTATTAGATTTTTGAATTTCTTGAGAAAAAAAACTCTCGGCTGAATGAAAGTGAAAAAAAAAGTTTGTTTAAACTGTAGCTTACATTAACTTGTATATGGTCATTTAAGTTTCTAATCTGTTTAATTTTGCTACCTCTTCTAAATGCAAAATGTACTACTTCTTTCTTGTAACGTCGTACAAGTCAGATACAAAACAAAGGTAACAAAAAACAGGCCGGAAACAAACTGCCGTATAGTTTTTCTGCACTTGTAGTCAGGTCAAGGTCCTCGGCTATCGCCTCGGACCTTCACCTGACTACTCGTGCAGAATAACTATCCGGCAACGGTTGTTACCGGCCTGTTTCTTTGTTACCTTTGTATTGTATCTAATACTAATTCGTAAAAGGCGTGCTATATATATAACTAAGTCTTATTCTTTTATTGACAAAACATGAAGGATATGTTTCAGGTTTTGAATTACATTTTGACCTAATTACTTTGTTGTACTAATTACATGACCTCGATTTAGATGAAATAAAGAAAACAGTAGCCACGTAGGCGAGGCATGATAACCTGTGGAACTATATTTACATAATACAACTATGCAGACGACGATGAAGAATAAGGATAAAAATTACCCACACGTAAGTTAAGGATGTTCGCTACTCTGTTTCAAAATAACAAGCTTTTTAAAAGACTGTTATAAATTGATAGTATATAAATATAGGAACTAAAAAAGCAGATAAAAATGAAGGGTCCGTGTGCTTGTTTTCGAGATATAAGCCATTGAAAATTTGGCGGGAAATGATTCTCTCTAGATTTTTCATACATTTAACATTGGCACCTTTTTTCTATCTAAAAGTATAAAAAAATAACAAGGATTTAATAAGATTTTCAAAGATGGCATTTTAAACTATATTTAATCAAATTATGAAAAGAAAAGTAGGGGTTAGTGGGCAAAAATTTTTAATGGCACTACATGGATAAAACCAGAGGATTCCGAATATCTGGCAAAAATTCAAAAACAAGAGGAGCGAACATCCTTAACATTTTGGAGACAAATTGAAATATTAAAAGCAATAGACTTATTTTCAGGATCCTGTTGCATTAAACTATACTATCTTATATAGTATGAGTTAACTTTATTGAAAAAGAAATTACTAAAGCAAGTAGTTGAAGCAAGCTCTGAGCACGTAGGCCTACATTTGTACGTACACAGTTTATATGTAAAAACTACTGAGTATTTGTATTTCAGTATGGAATTTTCTTTGTCAGTTTACAAAGCACACAGGACAGTTTTCTAATTAATTATTCCATAATAATAAGTCTTATATTCCAAAATTTTTTTATTGAATGAAATATGTTTTAAACCAGTGAGCAAATGCATTGTGTGCATGTATTTATATTCAAAAATGGCGACTGGAATTTACCACTTTTGCTTTATCGTGTACAATACGTCGAAAAACATCATGCACGTTTTGAAAACGTAAAACTGTCTGACCAGACTTTTTTCAAGTTGCACAAACGTAATTGATAGAGAGCATAAAAAGCCCATATAATTCGCACAATAAATATTTATAATAGTCTAAGCTTGTTTACGTTTCTTCTGAAAACAATCAATATCATTTTGAGTTTGTGATTGTTTGTTTATATTCATTATTTGTGTTTTGTTTTGTTTTAATTCCTTTTTCCTTATTTTTTGGGTTGGAATGTAGGTGGGGGCGGGCGGGGGTGTAAATAGTCAATGGCAACTACTAGTCATCTTTATGTTTGACTTCAATTTCCAATGTTTGAATAACATGTACACAGCAGTCATTCCTATTTTCTGCTATCGACAAAGTCACGGCTGGCATTCGGTATATCGGTAAAAAAGATCGTGATAGAATAAGTAACGGTTGTCAAGCATTGAGATCAGATCGTGAAAGCAATTTCATACAATTCAACTGCAAAATCTGTGAAAATATCCGTTGTATTATAAACGTGCAAAAAGTCAGAATGACGAAATATATCTGTCAATATGGTTCAACTTCCTTAATAAAACTGTGCACTTAGGTAAAGAGAAAAAATGCAGTACTTTTAAAGAGAACACAAAAGGCGACACATAACCTAATGCGATTCATTAAAGGAAGTGCACGTTTTGGATCAATAATTTTCACATTCCAATATATCATGACATATTTGAAACTAAATCTTTTGTTTGTCAGATAGTACAGTAAAATGGAAGTGATGTTTTCCTTCTAAAGGTTAAGATTATTATCTTAACAGAAGGATTTTGTTGATTTTTAATCAAAATTGACCGTGAAAGATAATGCAACTCTTTATTTATGAATGCTTGCATCTATGTCATTTGGTCTCTGGTGAGTAGTTGACTCTGGTGGGTAGTTGACTCATTGGCAATCATACCACATCTTCTTATATTTTTTATATTTATAATTACCATTGATGTACTTTAATTGATTGAAGAATATGATATCTTAATAAAAACTTTTGTTTTGTTGTTGTAATTGACCACCTACTAATTTTCGACAAAACCTGAAAAGAAACTCACCCAAAGGGTGACTGGGGAATAGAAATATGGTCAATTTTAGTCTTCTTTCGACCCGGCTGTGCGGGGTGTACAATTACGCAGCCACATCCGCTCAGAGTAGTCCCGTGCAGAGAGAGTGCACATACCAGAAAATAGTAATTTAATCATTCATAAAATGATAAAAATCATGTTTGCTTTCATTTTTTATGTCATTGAAATGTTGAAGAGCAATCTATCTGCCTTTTGTAGTAATGTAAAAACGGTGATATTTTAAACTCTGATTTTTTTAAGATACTGTTCCTAATGTTGAATCATTGTGACAGAGAGTTTTGTTATTTTTTGAAAATTTTACCTTATAATTCAATAAATTAGATTATCTATTGAGCTTTTGCGTGTGTCTTCTCGATAAGATTTCCTTTATGATCTCATACCAGATCTTTCACGGTCGTATCGCAGTATTAGATCACCGTTACTTATTTCAGTTTCACGATAATTTTTCTCGATATACCGAATTACAGCCGTGAAAGTAGTGAAAAAACACAGAACATTTATATTTGTTTTTAAATGATAGACTAACAAAGCTAATCGACGAAAATACATGAACGATTTTTTTTTATTTGTTTTGTTTTGTTTTGTTGTTTGTTTGTTTTGTTGTTGTTTTTTTGTTACGGAAGAGGAGGTTTAACTTTGAAATAAAATAAATAGATAGATAAACTACCTTGTCAATTTTAATCAACAAAATATATTTATAATTTCACAGGACCACCCACGTAATCTCATACCAGAATTGTGTAACCAGTTTTATCATTTAGGATGGGTAACTGGTACTGGCGGGGGAGTCAGTATCAAGCAGGGGTATGTACATTTATGTATATAGAACTTAGGCCACACAGTTTTGCTGATGCAGGTTCCTTTACTAAGAAATGGCCACACAACAGCTATTGATGCGATAATATAAAAAACGTTTACATATACCAAAGAACAATCACGGCTGGTAATCTACACACGCAGAACAATCGGTTCTGCAATGAAAACCGTGAGAGGATTTTCCGGTTATGCTTGAGTGGAGTAATTGTCACCGCTTCGAAAGGTATGTACATTTCTAAATCGCAATTTTCTAATTTAACTGATCAAAATATTGAAAATCGGAGAATGCTATGCTGTGATGAATACTTTAACGAAGAGACGCATGTATCATTTACTGTTGTGCATGGAGTAAAACTCCTACAAAATCAATCGTCCCACGAGTAATTGCCGAAAAAAGTGACATTTAAATTTTGAGATGGTTCTATTAACAGACCTACAAGTTCAAATTTAGTTTTTTTTTCTGTCAACGGGATTGAATGTCGTTTGGGTGGCATGTACGCTGTCTGAAATTGATAGACGACTTAATAAATCTTAAAACATCCAATTTTCATTATTTCATGCGTGAGGGGATCGGTTCTGATTGAGGACATCGTGAATGCGTGAGGGGAAGTACAATCATATCTTTATATCGAAAAATGCAACAATCACTTCAAAGAAGGGCAAGTTACTTGCATAGTTTTATTGAAGTTCATACTAAATATAAATTGACAATGGAAATGGAAATGGCTACAACGTTACATATAAGTGGTTTAGATTTATGATTGACATTGACTATGTTTTTTTTTCTCGTGTGCATGTATAAAGACTTTAATCTATGTTTTTGATGGATATAGTTCACGCCACCATTGCCTGCAGTGTGATAAGTCATATACTCAACGTCCAAAGCTGAACTTCCAAGTAAAGCTGGTACATGAAAACACACTAGACACAAAGTGCAGCTACTGTGACAAGACATTTTCATCTAAAGATAGTAAAAGAAGGCATGAATCTGTGGTCCACGTGGGAGCCAAGCCTTTTCATGCAGTGTAACACAAATGATTTTCAGGAGGAATTTTCAACTTTGTGCCGTCTCCGGTCGCATATAAGACAGAAGCACGCGGAAAAATTAAAATGTGACATTTGTGGAGGGGAGTTTTCCTATCAGCATACATTGGTGGAACACAAAGAAAGATGCGGCACAAGATCACCTCCAAAATTTATCTGTTGTGGAAATAGAAATTGTTCTGCATCGTTCACAACTGTTACACCTCAATATTAATTAAAAAGACAATATCGAGTTCATATACAATATTTATATATTGCAAACATGTAACCAACTTTTCACATCGAGCAACAACCTTAAAACTGACCAGAATATACATTAAACCTGTTTTTATCTTTGAATGTTAAACATATTAAAATAACCAGAAACTTTAAGTGTTCTTCAGTGGCAACTTTATGGCCATAGATAAATAGCACTAATTAATTGCGACAGTTCTATAGAGTTCATTCAGATGCTAAGAAAATATAACTATTTAACGGTCAACAGGTGTCACAGTTAAAGTTCTTGTAATGTCTATTAAAATTAGCCTTTTAACAACAACTAAAACATAGATTTAAGTCTTAATACATGCACACGAGAAGAAAAAAAAACATAGTCAATCATACATCTAATCTAAATCCACTTATATTTACGTTGTAGCCATTTCCATTGTCAATTTATATTTAGTATGAACTTCAATAAAACTATGCAAGTTACCTGCCTTTCTTTGAAGTGATTGTTGCATTTTTCGATATAAAGATATGATTGCACTTCCCCTCACGCATTCACGATGTCCTCAATCAGAACCGATACCCTCACGCATGAAATAATGAAAATTGGAAGTTTTAAGATTTATTAAGACGTCTATCAACTTCGGACAGCGTACACGCCACCCAAAACGACATTCAATCCCGTTGACAGAAAAAAAAATCTAAATTTGAACTTGTAGGTCTGTTTATAGAACCATCTCAAAATTTAAATGTCACTTTTTTCAGCAATTACTCGTGGGACGATTGATTTTGTAGCAGTTTTACTCCATGCACAACAGTAAATGATATATGTGTCTCTTCGTTAAAGTATTCACCACAGCATAGCATTCTCCGATTTTCAATATTTTGATCAGTTGAATTAAAAAATTGCGATTTAGAAATGTACATACCTTTCGAAGCGGTGACAATTACTCCACTCAAGCATAACCGGAAAATCCTCTCACGGTTTTCATTGCAGAACCGATTGTTCTGCGTGTGTAGATTACCAGCCGTGCAATACAAAATCGGCATTGGAAAATAGACAGACAATACAAGAAATGAAACAAGAAACACTGGACACGAGCAATACATAAACACCAAATTTGAACACATCCTATAGACATGATAGAAGGAATAAACTTAAGTGCTGCTGTAACAGGAGGATAAGTTGTTATTGCTCAATCAGAATGTTAACTTTCAAGTGATGTGAAAATCGTTTTATACTTCATAATAATATTGTGGTAAGGAATCATACCATACCAGTATAGTGAATATCAGTTTAATATAAAACGGTTTATTTATACATTTCTCAAGCTTCTGAAATCTTTGAATTTTAGCAGGTTGCTAAAGTATATATAACCGTATGCAAAAATAAAAAAGTGTTTACTTTTTAGCAAGGGACCGATATACATGTTTTTTTTTATATTTCTGAAACTTGGGTTCGAAAAGTTGGAAGAAACAATTAAAAATTCGTACCTAACATGGTTTACTAAACAACTAGATAATAAAGCATTTATTTTCTTGAAACAAACGTAGCCTGCCCTAGGAAAAATGCCCCCCTTTCACAGCAGTTTTACTCTAATAACAATTACTATTTGAATGGACTGAGTGAGGGTCCGTTGGTGGCCTGTTGCAATATTTAATGCTAAATTTCTGTCCCTATCCAATGTACCCTCATTTTCCAGTGGCAGTCCAAATTTCCCCGACCTCATCCCAGCCTCTATTACAAGACTTACATATTGTATTTATTGTTAATTTATTCTCAATCTAATTAAAATTAAAGGATGTAATTTTAATTCGATTGATTTATTCTCGTCCTGAACATACATGAAATATTTGCCACTGGACATTATGCAACCAAAACTCAATCTTTTTGAATGGAATGAATATACACTAGATAATAATTTACATTGTGTATATCTACGAAAAAGTACAAATAAATTGTTTATTTTATTTTTAGGGAAGAAATATATATAGCTCCGTCAGGTGTACAGAAAGAACGAATCCATGTAAATATATATTTTTCTTTGGTTTTTTTTCTAAGTACAGCAGTCCAAAACTATTGTAAGTATTTGAAAATATGAATACAAGGAGATGTTACAGTATAAATACATGAGACAAAAACAGACAAAAAATACATCACAAAAATCAACATGAATGAGTTTTCTGACTTAGGACAGACACATTTATATTCATTTAAGCACACGTTCAATAAATCATTTTTCTTACTTGCTCTGGTTCAGGAAGTATTGTACTTATTTTTATCATTTTTATCATTTTCAGAACCATCCATGATAGACGATATTTGGAGTAACAGTACAAAAAGGGGAACACATGATAGGGCCACAGTTTTAAATATAGTATAAATATCAATATCAAATAACATTCTTGAAATACTCACAAGACGTAATAATTCGTATTTATTTGTCGTTTAACTCTTCAAATTTCTTGTTTTCGGTGAAACAAAAACCAACCTAAAAACTCCCGGATTGACCCATATTGAACTCTGCGAATTGTCGTTATTATTAAGACATATGCAACAGTCCTACCAAACAGATGTTTGCTATCAATTGACTTGTATAAGTTACAATGAATTTGTAACATCAGGGATTTTGTAAAATCCTTGAAATTTCAGGAATTTTGTAAAATCCTTGAAATTTCAGGAATTTTTATAAAGTGAATTTGTAACATCAATTCACATCCATAATCATTTTGATCAATTGAAAATCACTGAAATAATTTAAATTGTGTTTAAAGGATCTCTGATTTATTTCAGGGAAATCTAAAAAAAAAAGCCATTTTTGATTAAATACTTCATTGAAAAAAAACTACAGCAGTAACAATGATCAAGTTTGAGGTTTATTTGTCCTTTTAAATTAATACAACGTCAGCAGCTTTTAAATAACTGAACACAAATGAAAAAAAATATATTTTGGAAATGAGAAAACATATGAGGATATTGTGGAACTTATTGCGAAAGACACACAAAAAAGACAAAACAAGCTCAGATTTCGAAAAGTGATTTAATGTTTATTATTATAGTGTTTCAATCTGTTATTCCTGAAAAAAAAAAAACATATTTAAAAAGAAAATTGTTTTTAAAATCAAATATAAAGGCTGTACATTGAGTTGATTGCCATTGTAAAAAGAGGGAAAACACACGCAAAGAGTAAGAAATAGATTGATTTAGACCATATCTTCCAGTGGCAAGTTTTAGATGCATATCAGGACGACAATATATAAAACATGAGCCCTGTTTTGTGCTAGACCGACATGCTGAACCGAAATATTATTTAAACGTGCTTGTTCACATAGTAAAAGTCCACAAGAAGACATATCACCGTACCTGGACACATTATTCTGATTCTGGAACTCTGGAGTCCAAGTCCAATATAATCAACATAGATTTTTTTATGTTTGATCTCAGTAGAAAAGATAATCAAAAGATCAAATACTATTAATATGCTGCACAATATAAGTGCCAATCTGCCTAAGAATCAGGCAGTGGTGAAAACATGACAAACAAAAACCCACTCAAGTTGACATTCATTTATGTTCAAATTGTATAATGGTGCACGCATATAACATTCGTTTCCTTTTCCTGTTCTTGTAATTCAAGATACGATTTGGTTGAAATGCACTAAAAATTAACAATTAAGGGGAGCTCCGTAATTTGCTATCATTCTAACCAAAAGTTATCTAGAGATTTCTCGAATTACCAGTCACGCAGAAACGAAAGACCCACCATTTCTAACTCAGGATGAGGATAACTTCAAAAACGACCATGTTGCCTGATTCTTACAGAGACTGGCATTTAAAAGTAATGTCTATCCACAAACAATAGTTAAAAGAAATTATTAAAAGACAACAGATAATATGGACACAAATACTTCGTAATGGACCTTTCAGTTGATAGGTAACCAACGAGGCCAAAGTAGGTCACCTTGACCATTTTTCATGTTTCAGTTTCTTTGGTTTATTTCTTATATACTTAATATACATGCATGCTATTACATAGTGATTACTAGTAATAGTTTTCTATATTTCCTCCCCTCTTTAAATCAAAATCAAATGAAAAGTAAATTTTGATAGATATAGGTAGTGTATATTTAAAAAATGAATGGTCTATCTATGATGAGAAATATACATTCTTAATCTATTAACTTTAAACTAGTAATTAGGGATTTTACGAAACCCCTAGAACTTGTTTCATTGATTTTTAAAATTCCTATACCAGAACTGTTATTCCAATTTGTACTATCATTGCAATTTTTGATTCGATTATTTTTTTTCCAGCCGGAAGATTTATTTGTTCAGACAATACATGGTGAAGATATCAGCCATCCGCCACCGTCGAAAAAATTACGAAAAAGTCAATGTACGCCTTTGTTCATGAATGCCTTTACTATGAGAGGTAAGCAGTGTCCTTAAGTTGAAAAGTTTTACCAAATCATGATCCATTATAGCAACCCCATGTAGTTATAGATTACAACAACACTAAGGCTACTGTTGCACATTTTTCTAATGGAAAAGAAATGTTTTTTTTTACAGAGGCCGGTGCTGTAATACATACGCATTCGAAGCATGCTGTCATGGCAACACTGTTGTATCCAGGGACAGAATTTAGAATAACACATCAGGAAATGATCAAAGGAATACAGAAGCAGCATAATTCAGGTTTTTAATTACTATGAAAATCTACCTTTTTTTTGTAACTGCATGTATGCACTTAAATCATTTATCATTTAGCTTACGGACTCGTGGTATCTTTTTTACGGTCAAACGTTTTACATCGCGTACACCTTCACTTAGTACTTTCTTTAGAATTCAACACCCCTGGGGATATTGGAAAATCTATTGATTTGTAAACTGTTGGATACGTTGATTTCGTCTTTTGAGTAATATGTGTCTTGTTGATAGGCCGCTTGATTGACCGCGGGATATATACATGCTTAGACTTAACCATTCTGAATTAAATATATCCTCATGTTTGGACTGTGGCATGCCTACACAAAGCAACTTTTTTGACAACATATACAAGTCATCATTGGTTTCTGATCCGAACTAATATGCCATTCTTGTCATAACAGTTAAATTTCCCTGGCTATTCTCCAATACGTTTGATCCATATCATTTTCATTACCAGAAATACTCTTTTACTATACGCTGATTCTCACGTTATTTAAACGTTTTATTGGCTAACTGGATCCCTGCATCTTTGAACTGATGAAGTACTTGTGACTGCTTGACATTTTTCAAACACCCATCTTTATTCTTATGTACATAATCCAACCCGGCCTTAAGAAATATATTAATTTTATCATTTAAAAACAGTTTTCAATGCAGTCATATATAATGATGGAAAATTGTATGTTGGAAAAGGAAAATAAAATAAAGTAAAACTTAAATAAATAAACTAATAAATAAATAAAATTGAATTAAATTACATTGCTTAACCTTTGAGACAAATAGGTGACGTAAGATTAAGTAATAAATAGTTTCGTCTTTTTGTAATAATATAGTTAATCTCATTTCTAGAGTTTGTTTGATCATAGCTATTAATGTGACGCTGAGAAATAAATTAAATAAACTGTCATTTTCTTAAAGAATAAAAATGTTTGTAATTTGCCGTAGGAAAATAATCCTAAAGTGTTTCTATTGTCCACTTAGAATATAGCAAAGTACTCTCGACCAATGAAATTGTAGAATTGGATGCCTCTTAATTGTGAAGAATGAATGTAAATCATGTTCTTAGTAAGGGATTATCCTATTATTTGGGTCTATTTACAGTTCAAAACAAAGAGTTTCTATAAATGAGTTACAACTGCCCCGAAGCACATTTATCAGATTGAAAGGTTTTATCACAAAGTGATTGAAACTGACTAAAAGTTGAACTGTGAAACAAACAAAAATCTCAAAATAAGTTGAAGTTTACTGGTGCAATAAAATTGGAACCGTGAATTTTATTATGAAAATATTAATAACTTCAAATTACTATAAAATTAAACATTACCAAAGCAATGCAAAAAAAAAAAGAAAAAAAATCTTTCAGATAAAAAATTAACCTAAATCTTAAGCTTTCCAAAACTTTGATTACTTGATCAGAGGTTGGGGAGAATAGTTATTTCCAATAAATTATTCCGATAAAAAACAGGAATTAAATTTTAAACATATTAAAAACTTTTAAGGGCATTATTTTGAGCATTTCCCTGACATAATGAAACAGTATTTGATGTAAAAAGCCGGACCAAATTATTGGCTGTGAAATAAAATTTAGTTGTAACTCTAATGTATTAATTGATTTAAACTGTAAATAAAACAGGATAATTCCTCACTAATATATTACATGATTTACATTCATACTCACAATCAGGAAACATACAATTCATATCTTTTCTTTCTACTGTTGTGTCACCTAATATCTATAACGTATTTTTTTTAAAAATATTTCCCAAATGATAAGAAAGTCCTCACATCACTAAAACTTATCCATAAATGACATGCAGAAAAAGGAAGTCATGCATCAATTATAAACATAGCACTGACAATGAAACTAATTCTTGAATAGATCATTTGAGCCTTGAGCACTTTACAATATTCTAAGTTTGTAAGAGAATGATAATCCCTTACTTCATGATAAGTACTCGCTAACGCTCGTACTTATTCATGAAGAAAGGGATTATCATTCTCTTACATATACTAAATAATCCTGTAAAATTAAGTAAAGATATTGATAATCCATTAATTGCTTTTACATAACTAAATAAAATATATGTCAATAATATTAATCTTTTACATTGATAAAAGAATAGTTGACCAATAAAAAGTAACTTTAGAAATTTCAAAATTGACGCTAAAATTTCATAGGTGAATAAAATAGTTCCAATCAGCACGTGATGTTGGGTTTAAAAAGGGAAGACCGCAAACTCCCAACATCACATATCACACTTCAAGTGTGATTGCTGTTTTGAATAAATAATTAAACCATCATTGTATTTTATTCACCAGGTATGTAAATTGTTTAAGTGTAAACTATTTTCAATTGAATTTAGTAAAAGTATAGTAATAAAAGTAAGAATTTATCTTCTGATTTAATAACTTTGATATTTAAAACTTCAAGTTAACCTAAATTGATAAAAGATTTTCATTGACATAAATAAGTTAAAACAAAGTTTACTATTTCAATCAATAAATCTCTGATCACATATCACACTTCAAGTTTGATTGCTGTTTGGAATAAATAATTAAACCATAATTATATTTTATTCACCAGCGCCAGGCCTCGAAAGAACAAATGTCCGAGAAGATGGACACACACAAAGAAGGTGTGACGGGATTGCTTCCCTTCATTAGTAGATACTTAGTCAGCCGTAAGCGGTTGAGCTAAGGAAGTACTTCTTTAGCTCAGTCGGTTAACGCGCTGCCTTGTAACACAGAGGTCCCGGTGGAGACATGCGATTTTGCAAGTAGAATCATGCTCTCCGGTTACAAAGGTATTACATAGACCGAAAATGAGTGAGCTAAGATTCCCCAGATACCCGAATAGAAGCTATAATTCCCAGATCACGAAAGAAGCTAGAATCCCCAAATACACCGAAGATATGAATAGTCCCAAAGAGAAAAGATGTACGTCCCCCGTTAGTTTAGAAGTATTTACGTTTTAGAGGGAAAGGGGAGACAACCTGACAGAGCAGCGATTCTTCCCCCTTTTCCTGCATAACACATGGGGAAGTTATCCCCATTAGAATATTCATCCCTTAACTCAACGTACAGACGTAGATCTTATGCCCAACAAACGCACAAATGACGTCAAATAACGTCACCTAAAACCAAACACTTTGACGGAAAGATAACGATTGGAATCAATCGTATTCAACCAAAGCTTGAAAGCGTATAGCATTACTTAACTGAATAATTGGTTTTCGTCTTTGATGTCATCAAACTATGTCACATGAAGACGGACACATAAATGTCAATCACATATACACGCAAGCACATGGTATACATGAATTGAGTTATATTTTTTTTACATTCTAATGCGTCAAGCTTGTTTTGATTTTGTTGTCTTTACATAATAGTGCTTTGATTTTCGTTTATTTGACTTTTTCAGGCGGTCACTACAAATACGACGATAAATTGATCGTGCCTATAGTAGAAAATACACCAGAAGAAAAAGATCTACAGGTAACTTAACTGTTTACCGATTTTCAAACCTCTTAAGTCCGCCTGAAACTAACACAAACCAAGTGAAAGAGACCTGATGGAATACAAAAAAAAAATAAACGGAGCTAACTTGTGCATGTATGTTAAGTGTACGTCTTTAGCTGTGCATGTATTACCTGACATGCAAGTCCATCAAATTTATACCTACATAAGAATAATGACGGGTGTTATATAGGGAAAAGGATCTGCTTACTTTCGGAGCACCCGATATGACCCAAGGTTTTTGGTGGGGTTCGTGTTGCTCAGTCTTTAGTTTTTAAAGTTATTATTACTATTAAACTAACTCGGTTATCAAAAGAACTTCTAGTTTAACATTTGCACCTTCATAACGAGTACATTTACAATAAGGATATGATTCACAATGAGACAACTAATTACCAGACACCAAATGACTTGTTAGTAACAGTAGGTCACCACCGTCTGTCCTTCAAAAATGAGCAAAGCCCACACCGCAGAGCAAGCTATAAAAGGACAAAATATTTTTTTTTTTTTTTTTTAAATGCTGAAATGATGTATTAGACCATACTTATTATCATAGTAATAATATGAGTATCTGACTTTGTTCAATGTATTTACACTTTCATCTTCAAATTTCCACCAAATATGTACAATACAAACTCGTTCTGTTTATAGAAATGAATAATGAAGAGCTTGGTTTAAACGTCCAGCGGCAAATATCATATGCATTTCAGAACGATATTGTACTGGTTTGATAAAATAACGAATATATATAAATAACAAGATGTGGTATGAGTGCCAATGAGACAACTCTCCATCCAAGTCACAATGTGTAAAAAGTAAATAATTATATGTCAAAGTACGGCCTTCAACACGGAGCCTTGGCTCACAACGAACTGCAAACTATAAAGGACCCCAAAATGACTAGTGTAAAACAATTCAAACAGGAAAACCAACGGTCTAATCTATATAAAAAACGAGAAAAGAGAAACACTTATGAACCACACCAACAAACGACAACCACTGAACAACAGGCTCCTGACTTAGGACAGGTGCATACAAATGCAGCGGGTTTAAAAGTTTAAACAGGCGCCAACCTTCACCCTAACCTGAAACAGTAGTGTAACATTACAACATAAAAAGACACACAAAACCTACATTGTACCAGATCGACACGATGAGTTAAAAGTTTAATGTGCTAGCTAGTTCACAAGGTATTGTACACTGAACTACTTTCTTCTCCTTTCTGTCATGCTACCGTGTTCCTTTTTTTTGTCTCCAAGCCTACAAGTCTTTGCTCCTACATCTAAATACCGCGTGCTAGAGGAGAAGCAGCAAGTACCAATTTTCAAATTATGAATTGACCAGATCTAGTATCTGATTCACGACACCCTTCATTCGAATATGCTACCGTGACTCTACCATACGACCACCAAAGCTGTACCTTGAAAGTGCATGCCGAAACATATTGCTCATATTCGTGTAATTTCTGTTAATTGCATCTAACGTTATTCACAACTTTTAGCATTTTATGTTACAGAAAAGAATGGCATTGGCAATGGAAGATTATCCAGAATCCTGTGCTGTTCTTGTTCGTCGTCATGGAGTTTATGTATGGGGTCCATCATGGGAGAAAGCAAAGACTATGTATGTTTTTGGAAAAGGCCTCGATCAGGTTTCGTAATCAATTTTGAAACATTCAAACAAAAGAGATATAGAGCACACATTAATATGACAGCAACCAAAAAACAAGGTGAAAACACATATCATATTGCAACTTAACGAATCAGTGAAACTGAATTGAATACTAGAATCAGATCAGTAAGATTTACAAAATTTCTCTAGTGAATGTTAAATTTATTGACCTAAAAGTTAAACCGTCTACTTATTGATAAAGGCAATTAACTGGGTTTTTTAGCATCCAATGTCTCTGTTAAGGAAAATTGTAAGCTTTGTAGCCAGCATTTTTTTTTATTTCAAAATTATTTTTTTTCGGACTGACACAATACACATGATACACATATTTTCTTTTAACAGATTATCTGTCTACATACAGGTTGCCGGGATTTTGTTCTTCTATGTCATGATTGCCTACAGTAATATAAGGAAAAGTTAAATGTAAAAACTAATTGGTTTTCGGGATTTTCAATGAAAAGTTTGGACTAGCTGTATATCATATTCGTTTTTCGTTCATTGTTTTGAAGATAAATTAGACCTTTAGTTTTCTCGTTTGAATTGCTTTACATTTGTCATTTCGGGGCCTTTTATAGCTTACAATGCGGTATTGGTTTTTCTCATTTTTGAAGGCCGTATGGTGACCTATACATTGTAGTTGTTAACTACTCTGTCATTTGGGCTCTGGTGGAGATTTGCAATCATACCACATCTTCTTATTTAAGTAGCGACTATTTTTCTGACTAGATTAGATTTTGTTATTTACGACAATTTTATCAACTTTATGGTCATTTTTATAAATTTCCTGTTACAAAACTTTGAATTTTTCGAAAAACTAAGGATTTTCTTATCCCAGGAATAGATTACCTTAGCCGTATTTGGCACAACTTTTTGAATTTTTGGGTCCTCAATGCTCTTCAACTTTGTACTTGTTTGGCTTTATAACTTTTTTGATCTGAGCGTCACTGATGAGTCTTATGTAGACGAAACGCGCGTCTGGCGTATTAAATTATAATCCTGGTACCCTTGATAACTATTTACACCACTGGGTAGATGCCACTGCTGGTGGACGTTTCGTCCCCGGGGGTATCACCAGCCCAGTAGTCAGCACTTCGGTGTTGACATGAATATCAATTGCATGGTCATTTTTATAAATTTCTTGTAACAAAACTTTGAATTTTTCGAAAAACTAAGGATTTTCTTATCCCAGGAATAGATTACCTTAGCCGTATTTGGCACAACTTTTTGGAATTTAGGGTCCTCAATGCTCTTCAACTTTGTACTTGTTTGGCTTTATAACCTTTTTGATTTGAGCGTCACTGATAAGTCTTATATAGACGAAACGAGCGTCTGGCGTATTAAATTATAATCCTGGTACCTTTGATAACTATTAACACCACTGGATCGATGCCACTGCTGGTGGACGTTTCTTCCCCGAGGGTATCACCAGCCCAGTAGTCAGCACTTCGGTGTTGACATGAATATTAATTATATGGTCATTTTTATAAATTTCCTGTTACAAAACTTTGAATTTTTTGAAAAACTAAGGATTTTCTTATCCCCGGAATAGATTACCTTAGCTGTATTTGGACAACTTTTTGGAATTTTGGGTCCTCAATGCTCTTCGACTTTGTACTTGTTTGGCTTTATAACTTTTTTGATTTGAGCGTCACTGATAAGTCTTATGTAGACGAAACGCGCGTCTGGCGTATTAAATTATAATCCTGGTACCCTTGATAACTATTTACACCACTTGGTCGATGCCACTGCTGGTGGACGTTTCGTCCCCGAGGGTATCAACAGCCCAGTAGTCAGCACTTCGGTGTTGACATGAATATCAATTATATGGTCATTTTTATAAATTTCCTGTTACAAAACTTTGAATTTTTCGAAAAACTACGGATTTTCTTATCCCAGGAATAGATTACCTTAGCCGTATTTGGCACAACTTTTTGGAATTTTGGGTCCTCAATGCTCTTCAACTTTGTACTTGTTTGGCTTTATAACTTTTTTGATTTGAGCGTCACTGATCAGTCTTATATAGACGAAACGCACGTCTGGCGTATTAAATTATAATCCTGGTACCTTTGATAACTATTAACACCACTGGGTCGATGCCACTGCTGGTGGACGTTTCGTCCCCGAGGGTATCACCAGCCCAGTAGTCAGCACTTCGGTGTTGACATGAATATTAATTATATGGTCATTTTTATAAATTTCCTGTTACAAAACTTTGAATTTTTCGAAAAACTAAGGATTTTCTTATCCCAGGAATAGATTACCTTAGCCGTATTTGGCATAACTTTTTGGAATTTTGGGTCCTCAATGCTCTTCAACTTTGTACTTGTTTTGCTTTATAACTTTTTTGATCTGAGCGTCACTGATGAGTCTTATGTAGACGAAACGCGCGTCATGCGTATTAAATTATAATCCTGGTACCTTTGATAACTATTTACACCACTGGGTCGATGTCACTGCTGGTGGACGTTTCGTCCCCGAGGGTATCACCAGCCCAGTAGTCAGCACTTCGGTATTGACATCAATATCAATTATATGGTCATTTTTATAAATTTCCTGTAACAAAACTTTGAATTTTTCGAAAAACTACGGATTTTCTGATCCCAGGAATAGATTACCTTAGCCGTATTTGGCACAACTTTTTGGAATTTTGGGTCCTCAATGCTCTTCGACTTTGTACTTGTTTTGCTTTATAACTTTTTTGATTTGAGCGTCACTGATAAGTCTTATGTAGACGAAACGCGCGTCTGGCGTATTAAATTATAATCCTGGTACCCTTGATAACTATTTACACCACTTGGTCGATGCCACTGCTGGTGGACGTTTCGTCCCCGAGGGTATCAATAGCCCAGTAGTCAGCACTTCGGTGTTGACATGAATATCAATTATATGGTCATTTTTATAAATTTCCTGTTACAAAAATTTGAATTTTTCGAAAAACTACGGATTTTCTTATCCCAGGAATAGATTACCTTAGCCGTATTTGGCACAACTTTTTGGAATTTTGGGTCCTCAATGCTCTTCAACTTTGTACTTGTTTGGCTTTATAACTTTTTTGATCTGAGCGTCACTGATCAGTCTTATATAGACGAAACGCGCGTCTGGCGTATTAAATTATAATCCTGGTACCTTTGATAACTATTAACACCACTGGGTCGATGCCACTGCTGGTGGACGTTTCTTCCCCGAGGGTATCACCAGCCCAGTAGTCAGCACTTCGGTGTTGACATGAATATTAATTATATGGTCATTTTTATAAATTTCCTGTTACAAAACTTTGAATTTTTCGAAAAACTAAGGATTTTCTTATCCCAGGAATAGATTACCTTAGCCGTATTTGGCATTACTTTTTGGAATTTTGGGTCCTCAATGCTCTTCACCTTTGTACTTGTTTGGCTTTATAACTTTTTTGATCTGAGCGTCACTGATGAGTCTTATGTAGACGAAACGCGCGTCTGGCGTATTAAATTATAATCCTGGTACCTTTGATAACTAATTAGAGAAAGGACGTCTTGGTATATAAGAAATTGTCCGGTTATTCTAGAATAAATTTATTTCAACAATACTTGTACATCAATAGATGAACTTTTGTTGTGTGGTATTATTTAAAAATAACAAGACATTTGCTACAAAATGGTTGGTTATCATTTATTTAGATAACCTTATTTGATATTTGATATTTCTTTCGTGTTTCCCTGTTCCAATTTTTTTTTCTTAACCTCTTTTCTTTTCTTTTATAAAAGAATACATAAAATTGAGAATGGAAATAGGGAATGTGTCAAAGAGACAACAACCCTACCATAGAGCAGACAACAGCCGAAGGCCACCAATGGGTTTTTTGTCGTTTCTCTTTTCCAAATATTCCATTATCTAAAATATATATTATATGTATAAATTCATTCTTTTTAATTTTCAGGTGCGAGTGTTATGATTATTTATTCGAAATTGCCATCGAGATGAAGCAACACGGCCTTGACCCTGAAGAGGTACCGAAACCTCCAAAAGGAGCTTACACCCAGTGATATAAAACACTTTGGTTAACATGAAAACCAAATAATTCAATATTCACAAAGACTTAACCAATCAACATAAACAATGTCTACCGTCATTAAATGTTGAGTTTAAGCGCAAAATTATTTATCGAAAATATTAAACAAATATACTTGTTAAAAATAAATAAATGAATAATCTTTATTTCAAGAGGATAATCCCATTAGTTAAAACTAATCTTCCTGAGAGTACTCAAAATAATAATAACATATTCATAAAGTACATACAGTATTATAATGATAAATTGCCAAACAATGTAATTTTAACACACTATTTAGTATGTAAATATTAAAATGTTAAAAATATTTACAATGCGATAAATATAAACGCAATTAATATTTTGCTAGACAAACTAGCTTCATCGAGCGTGCATCTATCCAGGTGAAATCGGAAGCAGATAAGAAACTTTAGCAGCTCATTGTACATTGAATTTATCTGACTAATAAATATATTCAAATTTTGGATGGAGTTCAAGATTTTTTTATTTGATTACGAAATTTGTTGTTGAAGTTTGCAACGGCCATTGGCCAATGTTACAGAGATATAAAGAACGGTGCAATATAATCATTTATTCTTTTTCTTTCCTGTATCTTTTCTCAACATTAAGCCCATCAGGTTCTAAAGTATGGAGCTGGTGGATCCAAAAGTTGTCTCTTCTCCTTCTAGCCGTGGTGTTCCACTCAGCTAGTGTTCACTTCTATGATTTGAAAAGTAACATTATCAAAAGGATGTTTCTTTGAGCGAAGATGTCTTGTGAGTAGACAGTTTTCGTTGTTTAAATATTATATTTTTATTATTATTCATTTTTTTCGTCTCTATTTTATGGTACACGTATAAGGATAATTATTATCTTGATATCACCAACCCATTATCGTCGATGAATATCTAGCTTATGTGACCACCATTATGCTATAATGAACAAAACGTAACAATATTCGGTAAATGAGACTAAATCCGAATGTCTACTTGCAGTGAGCAACACGACGGATGCTAATAGTAGAGCAGGATTTATTAATATGTTGGAGTAAAGAAGTTCACCCACGGTTACTGTTTGTGTTCGTGTCTTTGTGCGATATTTTGTGGACTGTCGTTTGCCTTTTCGTCGTTTCGGTTGTGGTATTGTCTGTTTTTTTTCGACTAATGATTCTTGAATAATTCCTTCGTATCATCTTCCTCTTTTTCCCATTTTTTCTTCTTCAGGAAAACGTCCAAAACAAATCGATTGCCATAATTATAGCTGATTTATAGTATTGAAAATTTGATATGGATGAAGTAAATATTGCGTTCCACGTGCTTGCATTTGAAACGATAATTAGCTAATGACTATTAAAAAAAAACATTATACACTCCGAATGACGTACAACAAAAGCCTTCCCAATAATAACACTTGTTCGGGCATGAAACTTAGGAAACGTTCTGGTTCTGATAATTTGTCTTTTCTTTTATTATTTGTCTGTCTTTATCGTGGAATAATGTAAATACAGTACTTTTGTTCAACATGAATTCATCTGTCATTTTTGAGTGACAGTATGCCTCATGCACACTTAGGAAAAGTCATTAACAGCACCATTTTAAGACTGTCAAAAGATATCCTATCCATTTGTATAGAACTGCTGTTGACAGACGATGATTTTATATTTATACTAAAAATAATTGATGCCATTACTAGCTTTCCGAAAAACTCATTAAACATGTTAAAAGGCAGATTCAATAAGGAAGAGCGAATCTACATGTTTGTATTCATGGATTGACATGCTATAATTGCCAAATAAGAATTGTAATAATAGAGCAATCACTGGTAAAGAAAATAAGAGGAAATAAAATGTATATTATATTGCAAATCATAATGTTTAGAATGAAATGACAAAATAATAGTCGTCTGCTTTTTTCAGATTAATGTCAAACATGAAAACGTAGCAAATTAATAAAAGTATTCTAAAAAATGAAAGCGATTTTCTGGATTTACCTTTATCAGGAACACCCGAAGCCGAATATTTGAAAGCCATGGATGTATAAGAACCGGAACAGTTGAAGAGCTATATGACCAAAAAAGACCCCAAAAAATAGCCGTATCCATCTAAGGTAAACTTTGCCTGAGGGAGTTGAAACCTTAGTTTCTTATAGCTTCAAAATTCATTTCAACGGACAATTATAGAAAGGTTTGTTATAAATGATGTCAGAAGTACTGACTACTCCGCTGATATCGATTAAATCCATACTAGACTAGTAATTGTATACTTTGATTAAGGATCATTATATATTATTTTTAAAAAATTATGAAGAATTTGTTAAGCTTTTTCCTTATTACCCTGTTGTTCAGTTGGAGTTGTTGCTCTTTGTCTATCTTTTATGAAAAATAACAATACTAGGCGTTAAATAGTGTATTGTAGATATTAATGACGAATCAAGTGAACCAATTAATTAAAACAAGAAGAACACCGAGCAATTGTCCGGCTTTGGCTATACTTTTTTTTGTCCTTTTTGGTTTCTGGCTCTTCATCTTTTTAACAAGCTTTGGATTTTCAAATATTTTGGCCTCGAGCATCACTGATGAAGAGACATTGATTGTTGAAATGCGCATCTGGTGCAGAACATTTGGTACCGTTTATGTTATTACATGTAGCAGCGAAATATCACGGTATTGTCTCTATTATATGTAATAAGAAAATTCTCACATCAAAATTGCTGTATCAAATATGAAGTCAAGTTAAACGACGAGCGCTAAAATCACAGAAGAAAAAGAAAAGGAAAAACAGAATCTTAGGTAAAAAAAGGGAAACTATACCAAGGGATACGACAAACAAATCCAGACAGCAGCATGGACTAAAAAGGACCAAAAAAAGAGAAGAAATGACAAGCAAAAAGAAAACACTCCATACGCAACAATAGATTGAACAAGACCAGCCTAAGGAAACATCGGGGTGAATTAAGATATTCCAGAAAGGTCAGCATAACTAACGTGCTCCCCTAATGCCACCCGACGTGTTGTTCTTCTTGCTTTTAAGCTGACCAATAACAATCTCTTAAAGTAGCAGAGGAGTTGATGGATGGCTGCCGTAGTTCTTGTATTGATTAAATCCATACTAGTAATTTTATACTTTGATTAAGGATTTAGATACATTGTTTAAGACACTTTATGACTAAAAGTTTTTTTACATAATTTAAACCTTACTACTGAAGAGAGTTATTATAACAGTTACATGTCCTAGTTTGAATGTTATTGTGAAAATGTATATTTCCAAATCATGGCCAGTGTGTGCCGTGTTACAAATGGATTGATTGTTTGGCGTTTAACGCCACATTCAGCACTATTGTGCTTTTTCGTTGCGGTAAGTTTTTATTGATTAGAGGAAGCCGGCGGTAGGATAACTGACAATCCTAGTCAATTCAGATTGCAGTCCAGCGCATCTGCCACGTGCACGATTGGAACTTAACAACCTAAGGTTTTTACAGGCTAGTGATACTGTAGTTCTACTACTTAGACATTTCGGCATTCGATGCCCGTGTTACAAATGCAAATTAAGTTGATAGTTGAATTCAGATGAGTTGAGGTTTCTAATTAAGACTACTAGGCTTGCTACCTAACGTTTTTTTTTCGGTACTTGTCTTGCTCTACTTTTGGTATGGACGACCTTTTTCAGAAACACGAATCGCATACAACGAAATCTACATCAAACGTTTTAATAAAAGGAGTATAATACAGTTTGAGAATGGTGCTTTTAACTTTCAAAAAATCGTTGAATATTTGGAAAAAATGAAAAATAAAAGTATTTGTGTAATTTCTTTTCTCTCACTAAGGTGCTGAATGTACATGACAATGTGATGTTGGAAAAATGAAAATACTGTCTTTTGCTATTACTCTTTTATTTATTAAACATTTACGAAGTGCGAGGTATACTTCAAGTGGCATGACATGATTGTGTTTCGATATACCTATGCTTGTTTGCATAGGGGTAAGACAAAAGGAGGGGGAGGGGGGAGTTCCCTTCATTTTGCTATTCTTTAATATTTGACCATTTCTTATGAGTATTGTAAAAAATATTGACATTGACGAAGGCTATTTGTTAAGCCGAAATATTTGTCCACACGATTTTATATCATCATCTTCGTACAGTAACATCTTATATTAGTACCGTTGTGCAAATCTTTAGACTTTTACAAGTTTTTCCCTATCTGCCCAGTATCGTCTATTCTAGACGATCCGGTACATATTAATTTTGCTGGTTGGTCCTTTTTATAGACATATATATATATATATATAAGTCTAAATTGAAAACAACGTTCAAACCTATGATTGCGTTGGATAAAAACCGCAATTTTTATACGTGTGCATGCAAAACAAATTTCTTGGTAGAGGGGTCTAAATACAGCACAAACAACATTTTCCAAAAGACCAAAAAAATGTGAAAAAGTATATTTAAACAAAACGCATTTGACTAGCAGGTCGAACAACGGATGTTCTTAAACCCTGCTGACTGCCATTTGCGATTGCCAAATAAACGGATCACAAGATGTAACAAAATGGATCTTCATTATTAATTTAATACCAAACAGAAAACAATAAACTTGCGGAAAAGATGGTATACCGCAAACATGAGGTGCAAGAATTTGTACACCATATCCGGTTTTCGACAATTAATGACTCTTCAGTGATGTTAGGAATCGAAACGGTATTTGGAAGGCCATATAATTTACCTCAAGTTATGATAGACTCTTGAATTTCGAGGAGTCGAAATAGGATGAACGGATCATATAAACCCTAAGGCAAATATAATACAAGCCCAAACGAAAAAATATAAATAAGTCTAAATTGAAAACAACGTTCAAACCTATGATTGCGTTGGATAAAAACCGCAATTTTTATACGTGTGCATGCAAACCAAATTTCTTGGTAGAGGGGTCTAAATACAGCACAAACAACATTTTCCAAAAGACCAAAAAAAGTGAAAAAGTATATTTAAATATATATATA